CATACAAGATCAGACTAGTCCTGTAGTCTTAATCTTGTCTACTCTAGGTAGTCCTGTACTCTTAGACTCACTCTATATACTCTACTCTTGTCTCACTCTCTCTCTCTCCCTGCCTGTTCTGCAAGTTCTGACTACATTCTAGTACTTACATTCTGTATTTCTGTTGTGTAGGATAGTTGTAGCCTGGGTCCCCTTGCTGAGCCTTCAGATTCCTTCTATACTGTTACTAACAGTAAAGTACTAAAGTTGAAGCATTAAAAGCCCTAGAAATTGGGCAAGCAATTCAGTACAGTAGCTGTAAAGACTCAGTAGTGTGTTGTATACACTTATGGAGATAAACTAGAGATCTTAGACTTTACAGAGGGGCCTGGAAAATCCTTATCTTAAGAGAAAATTGCTGAGCACTTCAGAGACTACTTTCCTAAGCTGTACCAGTCTTCTGTACATGCTATCATTCAAAATGTAACACATATTCAAGAGGCAGTCCAAAAGAATCCTAATCAAATCTTCTACAAATGTCTGCTTTCCAAGTCTGTAACATATCCACAACTTGAAGAGGCCCTCAATCTTTTCATTTTGACAGTACAAGACTGTCTCAGGATCACAGGAGCTGTTTTAAAACTGAAGGCCAAGCAGTTTGCTAAAATGCTTAGAATACTGGAGAGAGAATGTCTCAAACTATCAAATGGATAGGTAGACACATACAAGGAACATAATAGAATTAGAGAGTACAAGCTGCATGGGGAAGCAGCTTCTGTCTCAGCTCAGGCTGTATCTGAAGCCTGGAACTGTCTTCAAGCTAAGCTATTAAGCTATGAACCTTAAGATATTTACAACTTTGATGAGACAGGTCTTTACTATTGTATACCACCCAATTGTTTGCTCACTACAAAGTAGCTCTCTGGAGGCAAGGGAGATAAAACTTGTATCTCCCTTAGCTTCATTGCTAATACTGATGGATCTGATATAAGGGGCCTATTGTTTATTAGGCATGCTAGAAAACCACAATGTTTTAATAAGAAGAAGGGTTCAGTACTTGGATTCAAATATTATTAGAATAAGAAGGCTTGGATGATAGGTTCTATATTTCAATTGTGAGTATAGCAAACTCTATACACATGCATTCCTTATATTAATATACTCTACAGGTTCCTAGATAAGTTGGACAGGGACATGGGTTAGCAAAAGCAGAAGATTTGCTTGTTAATTGACAATACCCCTTCACATATCTTTGACATGAAGAAACTCAAGAACACTGAAGTTGTATTCCTTGACCCAAACATGACTTCCCACATCCAACCAATGGATGCTGGGATTATTTGTGTGTTCAAAGCTCACTACTACTGTCTGTACATCCTTGGATCTCTCAGTTAATATGAAGAGGGTGCTGAAAACATATATTTCATCAACCAGCTTGAAGGAATGTGTCTCTCACTCAAGGCTTGGGAAAAGATCACTCTGGAGACAGTGGCAAACTGTTAGAAGCATGCTAGGATACTTCAGGCAAAGGATATGTCTCAGAAGGTAAGCAATTTGTTTTTCTTGTACTCTCTATCTGTAATCTCACAATTGTACAGGATACAGCTATTCCTATTGATTCTATACTCTAGCAGTATACTACTAGAGTCACTCAGACTATCTCTGAGCTTTCAGCAGCTCTGGAGGAGGTTAAATTGAATGGTAGAACAGTGCTGGCAATGAACATTCCTACAGTAGAAGAACTCCTCAACATACTGGACAAAAAGATTACTAAGGCTGAGTGGACTGATAAGGAGATATTGGAGCAGGTTGAGTATAATAAGAAGGAGTCTATTGGTGAGCATATCCCAGAGCTTGAGGCTCTGGAGCCAGAGCCAGAACCACTCATTAGCTATGCAGAGGCTGTCCAATTGCTTTCAAAGCTTAATGTACTCTTTCAGAGTAAGATTGGTGCTGAGTTTACTAAGGCTAGGGCACTTTTTCCAAAGCTTACAAGAAACCTACACAAGAAAATAAATAGTTCTCTTGAACAGACTGATATTCAGTTGTTTTTTAAGTAGACAATGTATTATTGAGTTATGTACTACAAATAAGGAAATTTTATTACTTTACTTAAGCTACTGTCAACAAGCATAACCTCTTATTAAGCATGGCCTCACCTGTCCACAGTGGGTCATGCTTAATGACAGGTTTCACTGTAGACCATAGCACGTCAAAAAATTGCACTGCATTTCCTTCAATATTTACCAATCGTGGCCTCGGGAATAGCCGCCCTTGAAATTTTGGCAATGATTAGGCCTAGAAGACAATGGTTAACGAAGATGGTTAGATTTGTACTGATGTGTCTTGATGACGCTCAGACCCTGCCGTGAAAGCATATAAAGAGCGTGGCTCTCAAAGTCAACCAACTCAGCCCACACCCCCCACTCCCCGCACATACCCACTTCCCACACACAACAACAATTCCTCGGAACAACTTCCCCCGACAGCGTGTCAAGTATACAATAGAACAAAACGGTTCTCACTCGCGCGATGCAAAAGCGACGTGCAAACACGCAAGTCGCTAGTGTCGAGGCAACCACCAACGGCGAGACATCGCTAATACGTACCAGATTTTCGCGCGGTTTCCAGACAATCAACTTCGAGAGCACCGCCATCTTTAGCAATGAAGCTGAAGGCTCCGCCAACGTCCATGGCAATGCCTTCAGCACTACCACGGGTAGTCACGGTGCTCAACAAGCTGACATAACTAGAGAGGACCAGTCCTCCTCGACAGGGTCGACGTCCTCCAACATGCAGATAGCGCAAGCTGCGCATGTCGGCGGAACAAAACGTAAAAGAAATGGTAGGTCATCTTCCTCATTCCACGTCAAAATTCCTCATTAAAATATTTATTCAGCCGAGACCCTAGATGGCCGTGAGCCACATGGCTCGGGCAATTCCAACGAAACTTCGCAAAATCCCTGCGAAGGTGAGTTAGACCACCATACGTAAGTACAGCATTGAGCCGACATAAAGTCTAGACCTTCCGAATACTTCCCTCCTACTCCCTCCCAAACCGAAGTCTCGCAAGAGGCGCGGGTATAGGTGGACCCACAAAAAAACCAGAAGGGCGGCTACCCAAGGTCGTGCTGTCCGGGTAGGCGGCAAACGCCCAGTCGAGGGCGTCGATGGCGAAGAAGACGAGGCAAGGCGAATGAAGAGGCAACGTATTAGTGAGGAGGCCGTTGCGGGGTCATCCAACGCACGTTCAATGTCGTTGGACAACACGATTGGTGCAACCAACGTCCGTCAGCTGCGATCGCGCAGCATCGTCCTTCCCGATGGTCCCGCAAACGAGGGAAACGACGAGGGAAACAGGACGACGAGGTCGCCATCTCCAGATCGTGCATCAGAACGACCGACTTTAGAGGATACACTAGAAAATGAGGTAGACTTCACTCTCATAAAAACGGAGGATGAAGAGGAGGATTTCCTCTGGGATACTCCTCCGCCTCGGGATTGGAGTCTGCTGATGCCAGAATATGAACTGGCAACCGGGGACACGTTCCGATTTGACAGTAACCGGAGTACGCCGGAGTTGACGACTGGACGTGACGGGTCCCACAGGGATAGAAGCGAATCGGTCGGCTCAACGCCCGTAGGAACGCCGCGGGCCCAATCAGTGGATTTCCAATCGTTTGATAGATCCCTTGTGATCGTTCTCCCGGGAACGATGGAGGAAGCGGAGCCACCAGACGAGTTGATGGATGTTCGGGATGAGGGTGAGGACGAGGACGAGGGCGAGGACGATGTTTCGGTTTCTTCCGTCCCCGTTGACAGAAGAAGATCAAGGGCTCCCAGCCCTCCATCTCTTCCTCCGTCACACTCCGTCTCAAGACTTTCAACTCCCTAGCGTGGTGAGGAGACAGAAAGCGCTAGATAGTTCGTATGGATGTCACCAAAAGAAGCGGTTCCATACAGTCTTGAGCGTCACGACCATATCCGACCAAGCTTAGAGGTCTCGAATTTTTATCGTTCATCTCGACAGCCGCCCAGAGGAAGATGCGTACGATCAAGAGATCATTCCACATCTCGATTACGGTAACGAACCGCAAAGTGGGCCATCTCGTCCTCCTGGCTTCTTGTGTCTGTCTTGTTAGTCCGGGTGTCGGTAATGTGTCCACGGACTTTGGAATCGACCATCGTCAACTGAGCGTCTGCTCCCTGCTAGATAATGCCTCTCCAACGCTATCCGCCGTTTGTCCGAGTCTTCCGAAGTGTATATCAGCAACTCGACAGTGTCCTCCGATGCAACAGCGAGTTGAACGATATTGTCGGGAGTCCATATAACAACGTCGGTGATAGCCCTTCATTACTTTCGGCACGTTTTTCACTGCTTTCCGCTGTCCCGCTTCCACGACCGCACCCTAGCTCCTTCCTCGTCCTTCCGCGAATGCTTGCTCTCGGCCCGCTCTGTACTTGAACTTGTTTCTGTATTTGTATCTCTTGTTTCCTCTTTATTTTCTCTCTGTTTCGCACTTCCTGTACGGCCATGGCTTCCTTCTCCCTGTAATAATATAAAAGCGATGCCAAATTCGGCGTCGGCTTTTGGCTTGCTGATCTTCCGAGATCAGTCAAGCTTCCTCATAATCCGGTTGCTTGAAGTGCCCTTCAGAAACGAACACCAAGAAGATTATATGCGAGACAACAATACAGAGTCTCAGCCATCCCAGAAATTCTCCAAGTTAGAAGATCCGTACACTTCCGCGGGAGGTGAGGAGATTAG